GCGATGCTGTCCAAATACCGGGAACAACCTCACAAGGGGGTTCGAACCCCCTGAACCCCGTCCTTTCAAAATTCCTGGATCCGTCCATGTACATGCTGGTACAGTCGTCAACCAATTGGCCACTACACATTGCATAAAGTGGTTCCCGAACTTTGTTGTAAAGCAGGTATAACCGGACATATGACAAACCACCCTCTAAGGGTCACTACAGCAAGGAAACTGTATGAGAAAGACAACCGCTTATGACGTGAAGATGAACCAATGCAAAGTGAATGGGAACATATCGTACCGAGGTGTGTAATTAGAGAATAACCAACGAGGTACGAGTGATTACGGGAAATATGCCCGAGTTGAAATAATGTTCAGTTTATTTCCCGTAATCACTCGTACCTCGTTGGTTATTCTATTTATTACCCATAATGTAATTTAAAAGGAAGAACCACGAAATAAAAACCACCCGGAGACAGGACTTGTGACCTTAAACAGCTGATTCGTATTCATGCGCGTATTAAACGTAACTTCTCCAGCGGTAATAACATAACTACGCTATGGAAATAGTACATCATAAAATTGCTTTAAAATACAACAAAATTATTATGTCTGGAATAATTAATTAAAATTTGTTAATATGATAAAAATGATCTTTTAAATATATCATTGAACTTAATAAGAGCTAAACATTTATTCTATCAAGTCAGTGCGACGGAACATCGTTCATTCACGACTGACGTGTTTTCTAGTGACGGGTGACGGTGTAGTGTTGAAACACACTCTGGCAAAAACCTGTCAATTTTTAGGAAAGTCAACGGTTAAAAGTTGGGAAATCTAAAAGACAACCATCCCACGAATACATCTAGAAAAAGTTTTCTGTCAAGAAACTCAACAAGTTTGAAGATTAAACAACATTTTGTTCTGTGGAAGGCGTGTTACACTCTCGTCTTAGTAGAGTACAGCAGTTCCAAGAAGGATAACTCTAGTCGGAATCCGAGTCTGTGAAATGTGTCAATCTCTGCATCGGCTACTGGGACCAACCTCTCAGATTGATTAGAAATGCATGGATATAAAAAGTCATCTTGAAGAAGAACATTTAGCACTGATTCCGGTAAGACAGGAGCTGTTTTCTGGTTCGATGGCATGGACGCCGTGTCCGACTTACTTGTTACACTTTCAGATAACATCTTTAGTCAGTATCTTGCTGTTTCTATTTCCCCGAATTCAGTTTCAACAAAAAACAGGTTTGGGGAATTCAAGGGCTGTAAAATTCTTATCACTCTTCCTATTTGGTCACCGTCAACTTTAACTAGGTAAGTGACCTTGATCGGGGTTAGCCTAACGGCGGCCATGTTTGTTTACAAACAATGCAAACGATTGTTTGGTGGTTTTTTGAAAGATTATATAATTTAAAAAGACTACTATTTATAACGCCGTTTTATTCCAAAATAATAACGTCTAATAAAAAGAATATTCATATTCTTTAACCTTAATGTTTTCTTTTTTAGATCTCAGAGTGTGTGATTACATTACTTAATGTCAATTTATCAATGAATCGATGAAACTTTATGAATGAACGCAGTGTGTGAAAGTAGTTCCGGCATCCGATGAAAATGTACAAATATACGATCAACCAATCAACGTTGAGAATCACTAAATTGCACATTGTGCAAATATCAAAAAGATATTACACGGGATCTCCTCACCCGTATGGGTAATGACAAGGTATAACGACCACAAGGCTCGCAATAACAAGGTATAACGACCACAAGGCTCGCAATAACAAGGTATAACGACCCCAAGGCTCGCAATAACAAGGTATAACGACCACAAGGCTCGCAATAACAAGGTATAACGACCACAAGGCTCGCAATAACAAGTTATAACGACCCCAAGGCTCGCAATAACAAAGTATAACGACCCCTGCCATGATATGTATAGTGTTGGTTTTCCTAGTTCTGCCTTAAAATCATATGAATCTGATATGTCCATCAATTAAATAATAATTTATTATTCATTATATTATTATTTATTTCATTTCCCATCAACGTTTGCTTAAAAAAAGCAGGATTCTTAAAACATACCTTATTATCATTTCCAGTGAATTAATCAAAATGACAGTTGTAATATTATACTCCTAAAGTGTACCAATATATGCGAATAATTTCTGTTGTAACAAAACTTCAAATATTGTTCTCATAATTAAGATAAACACTTTATTTCACTCCGTACAATACTCCAGAAAGTCAATATTCTTCTCACATAGTTCGATCAACATGGAGGAAAGTAATTCAATTTAAAGTCCATGCATCTCTTCATAACAATTCTGAAATATTTAAAGCATGGTTTTATAGGTTGTTTTTTTTGAGTAATATTACAACTGTCATTTTGATTAATTCACTAGAAATGATAGCAAGGTATGTTTTAAGAATCTTGCTTTTTTTTAGTAAACGTAGAAGGATCATAAAATAAATAATAATCTAACCAATTATAAATAATTATTCAATTGATTGAGATATCAGATTCATATGATTTTAAGGCAGAACTAGGCAAACAAACACTATACATATCATGGCAGGACAATCACTTGGTATTAACTTAGTTTCTTGGCCCCTGCCTTTAGATGTTGTTTAAATAATGTATTTACTAATAAGATAATTCTGAAAGTGGTTGCTAGTATCATAACTCATTAAAATTATTTCAACATCCAGAGAATCTGAAAAAGCAAAGCCTACGTTTTGGTCACACCCTGGTCAGGCGTTATCCAGTCCTGGAACAGAATAATTTACAAAAGTCTCAGTTGACTTTTCATGTAACGGAATAAATACTGAAACATATATTTAACTCATATTTGATGTAATTCTTCGTATACATCATCAGTTTATTTAGGTGGTTACTATTATTTGAAGACAAAGCTAGTGTTTATTAAGATGTTGGTTTTGGACAAACTGTTCAAGATTTGTTGATGGTTATTTGGAAAACGAGCTTCATATCAAATTGCACACAGGTTTGTAGGAGCTGAACGCTTCAGGACATTTTCATGTGTTTTCCTAAACCTTTGTTATGAGTTTTACCAAATTTTGAATCATCTTTACTATAATTTTTATGACACTCGTAAGTATCTCAGAAAAGGAAATAGATCAAAATCAGTGTTATGTCCTCCAGGGATATGGTCTCAGATCTAATAAAACAAAGATTATCGTTATGTAATTGTATTGACGAAAAGCTTTGAACATAGGATATATTCTTTGCACCTTATTTACACTAATAGTTAGCAGTTATACAACTCTGATGAAAAAATAATACATCTGTATTTTATGTAACATTGTATTTCAATGCTAGTTAATTGTTCGGATAACTGTGGATCCTCTGTTAAAAGATTTTGCATCACAGGTTTCCTATTTCTGGAAGATGGGTCAGTGTACAGGTGCAGACTATCTCGGATCTTCTTTGTGTTCTGGTGCTGTGACATACCTGTACATAAACGCTGGCAGTTCATGAAGTCCAGTATTGTGGAAGTTTGTATGTAAATTAGGATTCCACAACAAAGTACATATAGAAAATAAAATGGAAAGGATGATTAAAAAATGGATTTCCTTATATTCAGTGTCATTTTAGGATTGTGTACTGATTTTGAAGAGGGAAACTTTACTGAGAATGGCTGCAGATCAGCTGTTGAATATTTGCTTCTGGGTATGTCCAGATACATCCATGGAAACATACTGTTTACAAGCCCAATTACCTTTTCCAGATTTCCAAATTAGATCAAATAGGTTATGCTGTGATTGATTTGGTTACATTAATTATATCGATATACAGACAAATAAGGTGCACGAAGTAGTAGACGGGAAATACTTTCTGCTTTTTATTTACCATTCTTTTAATTCATTAAAAGATAGAAACACATGTTTTGAGGTTATTGATTTAACTAAATTGGAACAACGCCAACGAATAACTATTAGTAAAGGAGCCTTGCGCAGTGTTGACAATCTATTTATAGATACCGAAACGATCTGCAACCTGAACATGTGGTTGTGTTCACGGTTTTTATAAAATCATGATGGGAATTTTTATAAAAACACCAAACTTCAGTTACGTTTCCCCTGCTAATATCTTTGATGGGGTGAATTGCCAGATAAATTAATTGATTCGAAGAAAATACGCTTCCTACTCTCAGCAGGTGGTCGAGACGATTTTTCATCGGGCATGTAACTCATTTTCACTCGCCAATTGCAATCTGCCAGCTAAAATATATTAAAAATCACATACGTATAACTTGCCTCTTTAAATATCATTCACAAACGACGGATACCAAAGTACCACGAGCAGAATTCATCAAAAACGTTTGCAATCACGTACGTTTCGCCGGCGGTGACGCCATTGTGATTATAGTAAGTGGTTGTCCCCCCAACGTCAAAAACTAAGAGGGCGGGGCTTATCGGCCGGGACTAGATCGGTTTATTCAAAGTATTCGAACAAAGATACAGTGACGACAAAGATTCCGTGTAATGCTGTTTTGTCAAAAACACCGAAACACTAGTTTGCGAGCCCTTATGTTTGTTTGTTTGTTGTGCGTAACGCCACCTCAGCAATATTCCAGCTATATGGCGACGGTGTCTTAATAATGGACCAGACAATCCGGTGAACAATCCTAGCACACAGCGACTGAAGTGCCGCGCACAAGCATAGGGTGTTCTTCATTTTGCCACAAGGACAGAAGAATAGGTCGTGTTGATCGTTACCTCTGTCAGTGTAACTGATTCTGTTCATTGACGTCATCTAATTGATTTCTGTCATCGTTATTGTATAGACTAGCAGGTTGTATTTGATGTGAAAGGCAAAACACTTAGACGGACTACACTTTGAGTTTTTAACACCAAGGACAGGGTAGAACTGCACCCTTCGTTCTATGCCGCTTGTTATCAGGAATGCTGAAATTTATGGTATCCAAAAATATTAACTAAACTTGTTCTGTACGTCATCAAATTACGTTGGTATTTTGTACACAGCTGTAGACGATGACGCGTGCCTGGCTGGTGCTTGCCGTGTGTGGCGTGGGGACGTTCCTGTCGGTAGGTACCAGTTTGTGTTGACAGAGACCCTGCTTAACTGTGATAGTAGTTATTGTCTGAATGAGGAAGACCCTGGAATCACAGTTCTGTCATAAGAAGCGACATAGTGGATGTGGTGTTCAGGGTCGATAACTGGACTGATATCAAACCATCGTACTTCTGTATAGCTTTATTTTGGCGTTGTCATGACAATAACCGTTACTTGGCTATCAGTGAGGTGCGATAGATAGTAGAAGATGGTCTCACCCAATAGGGTATGTATGTTAGTTGTTTAAAGCTGCAATATATTCTAGATATATGGCTGTGGTCTGTAAATAATCGAGTCAGACAATCCGGTGACCAACAGCGTGAGCATCGATCTACGCAACTGGGATACGATGACATGACTCAACCATGCCAGTGAGCCTGACCACCCGATCACGATTGCCGCCTCTAACGACAAACATTGGAAGGTTTTCAATTTTAACTCGGATCTTCACGGGTTCAAGTTATAGCAAGACTGATGACTGTTGCAAACATTGAGCATTGTCAATTATCTGTATACAGACCGCAGTCATATAGCTGTGGTACTGTGCTTACAATAACACCATTTTTATGGTTCCACGTACTACATGGTATAATTTCTTTGAGAGGCATTTTAGAAGTTGTATGGATGAAGGAAAACCAAGTTCTATGGATAATCAACTTCTTAATGGGTGCGACGTTTCGGTGTAAGTACTAACACAGTTATCAAGCAAGCGATACAAAGAGTTGGCTTGGGTATGGTCGGCTATGGCGGATTTGGAGGTTTTTTTTCTGGACTGAAGTTTTGTGTGTAGTACCTACACTGAAATTGCGCACCCATTGCAATAAAGAAGTTGACTATCCATAGAACTTGGTTTTCCTACATGGTATAATATGAGTGGTTTATCCACCTGAATGGTATCAGAGTAGTGGTTTATCCATCTAAATGGTATCACATTATAGGTTTATCCTTCTGAACGGTATGATATTAGTTGTTTATCCATCTGAATGGTATCGCATTGGTGGTTTATCCATCTGAATCGAATCGCATTTCTTGTTTATCCATCTGAATTGCATCACATTTCAATACCCTCCTAATTTATGTTTGTGAACTAGTCTTCACACCGGCTCAGGGTTTGTTTAAAATCTGCTTATAGACGGCGTCCTTGACACCAGAGGGACACCGTGTTCGGAAACGTGACGCCACAGTCGTCTACAACCACGGCGTTGTCGTTGTCGAACCGGGCAACTCGGATGACGTAAAGTGTTCTTCCACAGGAGGAATAGTCCTTTAATCTAGTCAGTGTATTACAAGGTATGGCTATGTACATGATGTGCACGTTAATCGTTGTCCAGCATCAGAATGGGACATATGTGGACTCGACGTTTCAACCAAACATTCCTTTATATGAAATTAAAATTATGATGTTGAATTGCGAAAAATGCATTGTATAGGAACCTCATAATGATGGGATTTGGAAATTTAACGTTCTGCAACATTGATGCAATGTGTCCTGTAATAGTTGATAACAATGGCTGACACTTTTGTGGTATTTGTTCTCAGGATGATTCCAGCGAAGAAACTGAGGAAGAATCACATTTAAATATCACGATGATAGACCAGGTTAGCAATTTGTAATATGCCCTTGATAGTGTAGATTACGACAGCAGGCCTAGTCTGAACTAGGTGAGTAGAGAGTGCGTGAGGTAAAGGAGGACGTGTGTGACGTAGGTAAGTAGAAGGTGCGTGACGTAAAGGAGGCCGGGTTTAACGTAGGTAAGTAGAGGCTGCGTGAGGTAAAGGAGGACGTGTGTGACGTAGGTAAGTAGAAGGTGCGTGACGTAAAGGAGGCCGGGTTTAACGTAGGTAGGTAGAGGCTGCGTGACGTAAAGGAGGCCGTGTGTGATGTAGGTAAGTAGAAGGTGGGTGACGTAAAGGAGGCTGTGTGTGATGTAGGTAAGTAGAAAGTCCGTGACTTAAAGGATGGCGTGTGTGACGTAGGTAAGTAGAGGCTGCGTGAGGTAAAGGAGGCCGTGTGTGACGTAGGTAAGTAGAGGGTGCGTGACGTAAAGGAGGCCGGGTTTGACGTAGGTAAGTAGAGGCTGCGTGAGGTAAAGAAGGACGTGTGTGACGTAGGTAAGTAGAAGGTGCGTGACGTAAAGGAGGCCGTGTGTGACGTAGGTAAGTAGAGGCTGCGTGACGTAAAGGAGGCCGTGTGTGATGTAGGTAAGTAGAAGGTGGGTGACGTAAAGGAGCCCGTGTGTGATGTAGGTAAGTAGAAAGTCCGTGACTTAAAGGATGGCGTGTGTGACGTAGGTAAGTAGAGGGTGCGTGAGGTAAAGGAGGCCGTGTGTGACGTAGGTGAGTAGAGTGTGCGTGAGGAAAAGGAGGCCGTGTGTGACGTAGGTGAGTAGAGAGTGCGTGAGGTAAAGGAGGCCGTGTGTGACGTAGGTAAGTAGAGGGTGCGTGAGGTAAAGGAGGCCCTGTGTGACGTAGGTGAGTAGAGGGTGCGTGAGGAAAAGGAGGCCGTGTGTGACGTAGGTGAGTAGAGAGTGCGTGAGGTAAAGGAGGCCGTGTGTGACGTAGGTGAGTAGAGGGTGCGTGAGGTAAAGGAGGCCCTGTGTGACGTAGGTGAGTAGAGAGTGCGTGAGGAAAAGGAAGCCGTGTGTGACGTAGGTGAGTAGAGTGTGCGTGACGTAAAGGAGGCCGTGTGTGACGTAGTTAAGTGGAGGGTGCGTGACGTATAGTAAAGGAGGCCGTGTGTGACGTAGGTAAGTAGAGGGTGCGTGAGGAAAAGGAGGCCGTGTGTGACGTAGTTTAGTAGAATGTGCGTTTGGTAAATGAGGCCGTGTGTGATGTAGGTAAGTAGAGGGTGCGTGAGGAAAAGGAGGACGTATGTGACGTAGGTAAGTGGAAGGTGCGTGAGGAAAAGGAGACCCTGAAACCGACGTCATACGGATGAAATATTGCTGAATGTGAATTAAGAACACACATGAATCCATGCTCTGTGATCATATCCAGATCATTAGTTTGATTTATCCATGCAAAGTCTTCGGACAATGTGATTGTTCTGTTACCCCGCAGTCAGCAATATCTGTCATATGTCTCACAGTGTGATTGTTTTTTGACCCCGCAGTCAGCGATATCTGTCATATGTCTCACAGTGTGATTGTTCTTTGACCCCGCAGTCAGCAATATCTGGCATATGTCTCACAGTGTGATTGTTCTTTGACCCCACAGTCAGCGATATCTGGCATATGTCTCACAGTGTGATTGTTTTTTGATCCCGCAGTCAGCAATATCTGTCATATGTCTCACAGTGTGATTGTTCTTTGACCCCACAGTCAGCAATATTTTGCAGATGTTTCACACTTTGATTGTTCTTTGATCCCGCAGTCAGCAATGTTTGTCAGATGTCTCACAGTGTGATTGTTCTTTGACCCCGCAGTCAGCAATATGTGTCATATGTCTCACATTGTGATTGTTCTTTGACCCCGCAGTCAGCAATATCTGTCATATGTCTCACATTGTGATTGTTCTTTGACCCCGCAGTCAGCAATATCTGTCATATGTCTCAAAGTGTGATTGTTCTTTGACCCCGCAGTCAGCAATATATGTCATATGTCTCACATTGTGATTGTTCTTTGACCCCGCAGTCAGCAATATCTGTCATATGTCTCACATTGTGATTGTTCTTTGACCCCGCAGTCAGCAATATCTGTCATATGTCTCACAGTGTGATTGTTCTTTGATCCTGCAGTCAGCAATATCTGTCAGATGTCTCACAGTGTGATTGTTCTTTGACCCCGCAGTCAGCAATATCTGTCATATGTCTCACAGTGTGATTGTTCTTTGACCCCGCAGTCAGCAATATCTGTCATATGTCTCACAGTGTGATTGTTCTTTGACCCCGCAGTCAGCAATATCTGTCATATGTCTCACAGTGTGATTTGTTCTTTGACCCCGCAGTCAGCAATGTTTGTCAGATGTCTCACAGTGTGATTGTTCTTTACCCCGCAGTCAGCAATATCTGTCATATGTCTCACAGTGTGATTGTTCTTTGATCCTGCAGTCAGCGCAATATCTGTCATATGTCTCAAAGTGTGATTGTTCTTTGATCCCGCCAGTCAGCAATATGTCATATATGTCTCACAGTGTGATTGTTCTTTGATCCTGCAGTCAGCAATATCTGTCATATGTCTCAAAGTGTGATTGTTCTTTGATCCTGCAGTCAGCAATAACTGTCATATGTCTTACAGTGTGATTGTTCTTTGATCCTGCAGTCAACAATATCTGTCATATGTCTCACAGTGTGATTGTTCTTGATCCCGCAGTCAGCAACATCTGTCATATGTCTCAAAGTGTGATTGTTCTTTGATCCTGCAGTCAGCAACATCTGTCATATGTCTCACAGTGTGATTGTTCTTGGACCCCGCAGTCAGCAACATCTGTCATATGTCTCACAGTGTGATTGTTCTTTGACCGGGAAGTCAGCAATATCTGTCATATGTCTCACAGTGTGATTGTTCTTGAGCCCACACAGTCAGCAATATCTGTCATATGTCTCACAGTGTGATTGTTCTTTGATCCCGCAGTCAACAATATGTGTCATATGTCTCAAAGTGTGATTGTTCTTTGACCCCACAGTCAGCAATATCTGGTCATATGTCTCACAGTGATTGTTCTTTGATCCCGCAGTCAACAATATCTGCCGCTGTCTCCACAGATATGATTGTTCTTGATCCTGCAGTCAGCAACATCTGTCATATGTCTCACAGTGATTGTTCTTTTAACCGCGCAGTCAGCAACATCTGTCATATGTCTCAAAGTGTGATTGTTCTTGGACCCAGCCAGTCAATAATATCTGTCATATGTCTCAATATGTGATTGTTCTTTGATCCTGCAGTCAGCAACATCTGTCATATGCTGTCTCACAATGATTGTTCTTTGACCCCGCAGTCAGCAACATCTGTCATATGTCCAAAGTGTGATTGTTCTTGATCCCGCAGCCAGCAATATTCTGTCATATGTCTCACAGTGTGATTGTTCTTTGATCCCGCGAGTCAGCAATATCTGTCTATGTCTCAAAGTATTGATTGTTCTTTTGACCTCAAGAGTCAACAATATCTGTCATATGTCTCACAGTGTGATTGTTCGCTGACCCGCAGTGAAAGGCAATATCTGTCATATGTCCTCAAAAGAGTGATGTGTTGTTGACCCCGCAGTCAGCAATATCTATCATATGTCTCACAGTGTGATTATCGTACTTTGACCCACCAGTCCAATAACATCTGTCATATCCTCAGAGTGTGATTGTTCTTGACCCCACAGTCAGCAATATGTGTCATATGTCTTCAAAGTGAGATGAGATTCTTTAGTCCACGAAGCCAGCAATATCTGTCATATGTCTCGCAGTGATTGTTCTTTGATCCTGGCACAGTCAACAATCATCTGGTCATGTGTACTCACAGTGTGTTGTTCTTTGATCCACATGAGTCAAGCAATAACATCATCATATGTCTCACAGTGTGATTGTTCTTTGACCCAGCCGTCAGCACATCTAATCATATAATCTCAGTAAGTCATTGTTCTTGACCCCACAGTCAACAATATCTGTCATATGTCTCAAAGTATGATTGTTCTTTGACCCCGCAGTCAGCAACATCTGTCCATATGTCCCAAAAGTGTGATTGTTCTTGACCCCACAGTCAGCAATATGTGTCATATGTCTCAAAGATGTGATTGTTCTTGATCCCACAGTCAGCAATATATCTGTCATACGTCTCACAGTGTGATTGTTCTTTGATCCCACAGTCAGCAATATCTGTCATATGTCCTCAAAGGTGTGTTCACTTTGATCCTGCAGTCAGGCAATATGTCATATGTCTCACAGTGTGATTGTTCTTTGATCCCGCAGTCAGCAATATCTGGTCATATGTCTCAAAGGGTGATTGTTCTTTGATCCCGCAGTCAGCAATCCTCTGTCATATGTCCTCAAAGTGTATGATTGTTCTTTGATCCTGCAGTCAACAATATCTGTCATATGTCTCCACAGTGTGATTGTTCTGATCCTGCAGCTCAGCAATATCCGTCATATGTCTCAAAGCGTGATTGTTCTTGATCCTGCAGTCAGCAATATCTGGTCATATGTCTCAAAGTGTGATTGTTCTTGATCCCGCAGGTCAGCAATATCTATCTGTCATATGTCTCAGGCGGTGATTGTTCTTTGACCCCGCAGTCAGCAATATCTGTCATATGTCTCACAGTGGCGGAATTGTTCTTTGAC